GACGATAATCAGCAATGTATACATGTGTATACTTGCAAGCGGCAATGACTCGACTCTTTTAATGCATCAGCAGCATCGGAGAGATCCGGTTTTAATTCCAATGCGTGACGCAGGTGTACAGCTGCCTCTTGGAAATGTCCATATGCCTACAAAACGGGATAAAAAAATGCGTCTAATAAATTTTATACTAGCTTTTTGAATATTGAATGAATAATTATTAGTTTGATTCACATCACGTTTTTTTTTTTTAATGCGATTTTGTTCATTAAAATTGCTAAAGGAAAAAAGTTACATCACACCAAATCTTGACAAACGTGATAGTAGTAATAATTATTATCCATATACCTTGAATATTTGTCCAAGTGTAAGATATTGCTCCCACGCATTGCGATCCGGAGGCTGCAACTCTAAGGACCGCCTGGCTAAGTATGTTGCGTCATCTAAATAATGTTGTACCAGCAATACTCGAGCCAAATTCAAAAGAACCTCCGCGTTATGCGGTGATACAGCAAGTGCTCTACGAAAGCACTCGATCGATCTCTGTGCATCGCCTTTAATACGCCAGAAATTTCCTATCTGATTATAGAGCTGAACAGATTTCGGTTTCTGGAAAGAAACCCATTTAATGATGAATAGCAAAAATTATCTTCATTAAATATACATATAAAAAAAATGCACGAAAAGTTTATTTTGAGGATATAAATATCGTGATTGTAATGAGATATTCTTTCTTGTGAAAATGAGAATATGCTCAAAAATGAGAATATCAACTATAACATCACGCAGTGCACATTTCTTCCACTAGCATCTAGAATGGATGTGTGCTAAAGTTCTTTATATAAAATACCTCTCGTTTTGCTTTTTTCAAGCGTCTCTCTAATAAGTCAATGTCAACATCGACAGTTTTGCCGCCGTTCTTCTTGAACATTAGCGCTACATTAGGCTCTGGTACCAACGGATGTTTATTCCTGTTCGCCACACCAATAAGATTGTCATAGTAAGTGAAGTTGACCGGCTTGCCACAATCCAATATTATGTTGTCGCATTGCTGACCGGAGGCGCACGTCACCTGCTCGTTCGATACTTGCGAGGATAGTGGGAAAGACTCGCTGATATTTTGAGTATCCTTCAACACGTACGACGAGAGTCGTCTGCCAAGGGGACCAAAGTTAGGGCTGTTTTAACACTGAATCAACAGCAAGCCACACACAAAACGCTAACTACAGAAAGAAAAAGAAAATTATGTCACATAAATATCATTTGTGTATGTACGAGAAACAAAGAAAAACATATATGTATACATGCAGAGTGTGATGCAGATGTGATCATAGATATAATATCCACTTGTACCAATGCAGATTAACTTTAATCTTAATTTGATTCACTCTCTTTTCTAATTCTTAGGGAATACAAGGAATACAAGAAGAAAAAAAGTTAAACTAAAGTTAATCTACGTTGATAGAAATGAATAAGACTTTCTTGTTTAAATAAGATGCATCTTATCGGGCTCTTCATTACTTGACTCATGAAAGTGTCCTGTATTTCATACATGTAGAAGAAAAGGAAAAAAGAATTGAAGGAGAAAAGAATCAAGAATACAAGCTGTAATCCTATAACCTAATAGCGTAACCCAACCAATAATCATCACGGCCGGCTCGTTCTTTACCTCTTCTGGCTGGCAAAACCCTTGCATTCCTGACAGTAAATCTGCACCTTCTCATGTTTCTCGGACGTCGCGGTTCTGCTCCAGGTCTGGCCGTTGCCGGTGACCACGCTGCCCGCGAGGATGTCGAAGATCGGGTCGTCCTCGACCGTACTCACAAAGTCGGTCGTTTTCACGACTTTATCAGCGGCATTCAACCGCCAGGACGTACGCGAGTTCGTCAGCCTTATTTGCAGGATCAGCAAGCAGAACGCATATCTCCCCTCGGCCCACGTCAGTTGCATTCTTCCTGAGCCTTTCTCCGCGCGCGAATTGTTTACAACCTCGCAATTGGAATTGAGGGTGAGAAGAGAGACGGAGAGGGGAGAACAAACGCAGGAGGGGGCAAGACATGGGGAAAGAGATCCAAGAGCCATGGAATTTTAGGGTAGTATTGCTCTCTCTAGTCCAATTTTATACTTCGTCTAAAATATCTCAAGATATGTTATATGATCGTCTCGTTGAAATCTTCTGGATGAAATCCAGAAATCTGATGTCAAATTAGACATTATGAAATTATTATGACATCATTATAAAATTATTATGAAATCTTATGTCAATTTATTTTAGCTTGATGTTTAATTTAATATTTTTATTTTTTTCTAATTTAGAAAATTAAACTGAGATTAAAATTAATTCACATGAGAGAAATAAACATAAAGGAGAGAATTAAAACGACCTCAAACATTAAATCAGACTATGAATGTCCTGCCAACGATTGTGTGGCTTCATAAAAATTGGCTTAAATATATACATATGTATATGTATATGTATATGTATATACATCTAAATAAGAATGACGAATGGAAGAATTTAAATAAAGTAAGATGTTTCCAAAGCAGAAGAGTTCAATAAAACTAGTGAATTAAATGACTTGAAAATAATTTATCATCAAATAAAAATAAATAAAATATCTTGTACATAATCTTTTATATGCATTTTTATTAACATAAAGACATATCATTGTTTTATTCGAATATAAAATCACAATTTTCTGTTATCTCTTCTTTTTTTTGCTTTAATGATCAATAACAATTATTCAATATATTCTCGGAAGTTCACTCTTAGTTCTTTCACTGGAGTGATATCTGTATAATATATTGCTATCAGATTATACAAAGTAAAAATCTTATTCGTTTATAGAAGTTTTAGAAACGTTTAAAAAATATTTATATTATATTTACAAAGTAGACAATTGTAAATACTGCCATTTTGCATGGAAAAATGATAAATGCTTTTGGCTATATCACATTTTAAAAATAAAACATTATTAAGCGTTTGGATTTTTTGACATTAATTCCAAATCAGAATCCATCATGTCTTTGACAAGTTCCTGTAATAGAAATTATTAATATAATTACATATATTTGGATTCCAAAATATTAAATTTTTTTCTCTTTTTTAGAATTATTCTTTTCAGAAAAGAAAACAGAAAATTACCTTAAATGTAATAGTTGGTTTCCATCCAAATTTATTTTTCGCTTTCGATGCATCGCCCAAAAGTACATCCTGTCGAAAATTAGAAAAAAAAATCAAATAAATCAAATATCCAATAATCAAATAAATTAGGATATAAAATTTATTTCTTTATATTCTTATAGTTTTATATATACAACGGATATCTCACCACTTCTGTTGGACGGAAGTATTTTGGATTTATACGAACTAATATTTGACCAGTTTGTGCATCTTGCCCTGTCTCATTGACACCTTCGCCTTGCCACTTAATTGTACGACCGACATATTGGAATGCCATTTCTACAAATTCTCTTACACTATGCGTTTCTCCTGTTGCTATGACATAATCATCCGGTTGTGATTGCTGGAGCATTAACCACATTGCCTGTATATTACATATATATAAGAATTATATTAAGAAATTTGGCATATAATTAATTTTTTATTTAAAAGATGAAGTGTTACCTACTTCTACATAATCTTTTGCATGGCCCCAATCTCGTTTTGCATCTAAGTTACCTAACTCGAGCACATCCTGCAGACCTAAATGTATCTTTGCTATAGATCTCGTCACTTTTCTTGTGACAAAATTCTCTCCTCTTCGCGGACTCTCATGATTGAATAATATACCATTGCACGCAAACATATTATATGCTTCTCTATAATTTACAACAATCCAGAAGCTATATAACTTCGCACAGGCTGAAATTTTAAAATATGTACTGAAAAACTAATTTGAATAAATACAAGTTACCCGGTCTAAAACGTGGCTATTTTTATCTTTCAATTACCATATGGAGAACGTGGGTAAAATGGAGTTTTTTCAGTTTGCGGAACTTCCATTACTTTGCCATAAAGTTCAGACGTTGAAGCATGATAAAATTTTACAGATTTCTCTAAGCCACATGTGCGTATCGCATCTAATATTCTCACTGTCCCTACTGCATCTACTTCTGCAGTATATTCACTTACTTCAAAGCTTACCTATAACAATACAAAATAATACATGTATAATTATTAAATATAAATATCACATGTTTAATACAAACCATGACATGACTTTGCGCTGCAAGATTATAGATCTCTGTCGGTTGTATCGCGCTGATAACTTTAATCAAACTACTTGAGTCCGTCATATCGCCATAATGCAACTTCATTTTACCTTGCCGATGGCATTTTGGATCTTCATAAAGATGCTGGATACGAGCAGTATTGAATGAACTTGCTCGTCTGATAATGCCATGCACATCATATCCTTTTTCCAGTAAAAATTCTGCTAGATAAGAACCATCCTAATAAGAGAAAAAATATGAGGATTAAATAAAATCTTTTTGTTTCAAGAATCAATGTTTCCATAGCGATATAAATAGTTTGAATATTTGAATGTACACATTTCGTCAAGAATCAGAATTTTATATATATTCATTGAAAATTTGGTAAAGAAAAACTTCAAAAAATTAAAAAAGAACTTACTTGTCCAGTGATACCTGTTATTAAAGCGATACGTCTATCGTCGCCGGTTGCCATGATTACTAGTTCGCTTCTCAAATTTATCGAAATTATTATCTAATGCCACGACTGAGCCATTACTAATGCTGATAATGTTTATCAGCGAAAAAAATGGTTACTTCTTTTTCTTTTCAATTTAGCTACCTCTGCTTTTTTTTGATTGTGATCGATCTTTTTTTTTCTCTCCACGTGTAATGTCTCAATCTACTTTACTTTAAAATATATATATATATATATATATATATATATATATATATATACACTTATAATATATACTTAATATATATTATATATACTTGAAATATATACGTGTGTGTGTGTGTGTGTATATTTCCACGTCACCTGTCTTATCTCGTAATCGCATTTTATTACTAGAAAGAGAAGGAGGAAAGATATTTAAATTACTTGGTCAGCGTAAAACTCCTTTGTGTCTTTCGACATTCTTCAAACACATTTTTCCCTATTTTTTCTAAATTGATATAACTCGAATTTAAATCTCTTTCAATTTTCCCGTGTGGTTTCCACGTCGTGAAAACCACTGTTTCTCCGTCAACGAAGTGTCCCCCACGACGTGAATCAGAGAAATCTAAACAACGGTCATGCTTATATTTTAACTGGACTTTTTCACTAGCGCCTCTATGTGCACAAAATGTGCACGTTGAACTACGTAGTCATGTCCACGAATACTTAAAGGGATACTGAACTGATCTATATTACCGACAGAATGTGATATTTTTATATCCTATTATTATTAATTGGCAATTAATTTAATTGACAGACTTGATCAAGGAAAATGAAAATGCAAATTTATTAAAATTGAGTTATTAAAATTGATTTTATCAAAAGTCGGAGATGAAGGGGATATTCTAAATAATTACCATTGTAATTTTTGATCCTAAACTACAAAATAAAATTAAATAGTTTTAGTATTTTACTTTCCTATTTAATCATTCGATTTTTGATCTAGGAAATACATATTTGTTTAATTAATTATCTTTAATTTGAGTATTAATATAAAAAAAAATTATTAAAAATTATTTTTTTAAATATGTGTGTGTGTGTGTGTGTGTGTAATTATATATATATATATAATGCATGTATATATGTATGTTATAATTTTCTCCTTAACTTCGAGGCGCAAAGTTTGTGCGCTTTTTATACTATTGAGTGAAGAAGAAATTATATGCATATATTAGT